GTGGAACAGACCAGTGGAACAGTATTGGGAGCCTAGGAATAAACCTGCACACGTATGGTCAACTATTCTTTGACAAGCGTGCCAAGAACACACAGGGGAAGGATAATCTCTTCAACAGCAGTGCTGGGAAGATGGATAATGACACGCAGAAGAATGAAGCTGCACTTAATGTCTCTACCACTCAGAAAAATTAACTTTAACTGCATGAAAGACTTAAATGTAAGACCTGAACCCGTAAAATGACCTGAAGAAAACAGAGGAAGATCTCCCTGATGTTGGTCTTTGCAGCAATTTCCTGGATATGACACCAAAAGCAAACATCAAGAAGTGGGACTACAGCTAACTCAAAAGCTTCTGCATGGCCAAAGAAACTATCAACAAAATGGAAAGGCAACCCACAGAAGGGGAGAAGATATTTGCAAATCATATGTCTGATGAGGGATTAGTATCCAAAGTAAATGAAGAACTCCTACAACTCAATAGCAGACAACCAAAATAATGGGATTAAGAAATGGGCAGAGGAACTGAATGACACTTTCCCCCAGAAGACATCTGGATGCCCAACAGGTACATGAAAAGATGCTCAATATCACTCGTCACTGGGGAAGTGCGAATTACAATGAGTTACCATCTCACACTTGTTAGAATGACTCTCATGAAAAAGACAAGAGATAACAGGTGTTGGTGAGGATGTGGAGAAAGGGAATGCCCATGCACTGTTGGTGGGAACATGGACTGGTGCGGCCACCGTGGAAAACAGTATGGAGGGTCCTCAAAGAGCTAAACCTAGAATTTCTTATGATCTGGCCATTCTACTTCCGGGTATGTATTTGAAGGAAATCAGATCACTAGAGGTATCTGTCCTCTCTTTCTCGTAAAAGTGTTATTCACAATAGCCAAGATACGGAAGAAATCTGAGTGTCCATCGATGGATGAATGGATAAAGAAAATGTGGTATATAAATGAGGGAAAATTATTCACCGCATAAAAGGGAAATCCCGCTATTTGGAACAGCATGGATGAACCTGGAGGACACTCTGCTAAGTGAAACAAGTCAGAAAAAGACAAACACTTTATGGTATCACGTATATGTGAAATCTTAAAAAAACCCCAAATATCTCAAACTAAAGAGAAATGGAGTAGAATGGTGGTTTCCAGGGTTGAACCTGGGGGAAATGGGAAGATGTTGGTCTGAGGGCACGAACTTTCAGTTGCAAGATGAATGAGTTTTACGGATCTAATGTGCAGCATGATGACTGTGGTTAAAAGTACTTTATTGGATACTTAAAGTTTGCTAAGAGAATACATCTTAGATATTTCCTCCCTCTCTCACACACACACACACACACACGCCCGGGTAATGTGATGGATGTGATAATTAACGTGATTGTGGCAAATATTTCACAATGTAGACATGTATCAAATCATCATGTTGAACACCTTAAATATATACAATTTTGTCAATTATAGCTCAGGAAAGCTGGAAGCAAACAACAAAGCATGAGCTGCTGTGCTGGGGAGAGACCGGTGGTCAGAGTACACATGCACACCTTGTCCTTTTGGGCGTGTGCAGTTTAGGGATGCATTTTGTTGGGGAAGTTCTGGCGCTTTCTGCAGCCTCCCTTCTCCCTGGAGACTGCACCACATGGAGTGGCGGTCAGGGAGGGAGGGCCCCTCCCGTGTGCACCAGCTTCTGAAAGCGGACCCAGGGCAGATAAGACCTGAGGGGTCATGCAAGAACCCCAGGCTCCCATCACTAGACATGCAGAAGTTCGGTGGCTGTTTTGTGGAGCATGGTGAAAATCCAGCCAGCCTGTGTGATGGAAGGTGTTATCACCATGCAGCTCGTGCCCGGTGGGCGCTCCGTCGGTATCAGCTGCCCATCTCCATTCCCACCACTGTTACAAGAGGCTGGTGATTCCCAACAAAGGACACCGTCCTTGATGAGCTTGGTCTGGTGGGGGGAGACAGACACAGAGATTGCTGTGAAGTGAGGGGTAGTGGGACGAAGGCTAGGCAGAGGAAGGCAGGCCAGGGGCTTCTGGAGCGCATTAGCCCAGACTAGGAGGAGCGACGGAGGGCTTCCTGGTGGAGAAGGCGGTTGCCGCCTTCAGTCTTGGAGAAAGAAACATGTCAGCTCGACACAGAAGGGTGTGTGGGAAGTTCTAGACGGAGACAGGGGAGCAGAGCCAAGGGGGTGCGTGGAGATGGTGTGAGTGAAGCTCTGGGTCAGGGGGATGGGAGGACAGGTGGGGCTGGCAGTGATGGCACGGGGGATGTTGGATCCGTGTTGAGGAGCTGCGTTTTGTCTGTAGGCGAGAGGGTTGGAAACCTGGCCTGGACTGTGTCTGCTTCAGGCATTTTATAGGTGTTGGAAAGGCCACGTGTGGCTGGGTGGGGAGCCAGGTGGAGACGGGCCATCGCTGGGCCCCTCACCCGCGTGGTTTCCCCAAAGGGATGCTTTTAGGACCACACGCAGTTGCACCTGGGAAAGCATGGCGCACACGGCGAGGCACACTGCCACAGGTTGTCCGCTGGACTGCCGCTACTCTAAGGAAAACCTGAGGGGCCATCCATAAAACTTGGGGGGTCGCCTGCCTATGTACTGGAAACAGTGGGTCCACCTCTCGGGATCTCCACCTTAGTGCCTGGGTGGTTTACGTGAGGTTGCTGTGGTCAGTTAATCCTTGTGAACGTAATGGCTTTGCCCTCTGATGGCCGGGGGCTCTCTTGTGGCTGAGTCGGCTGTCCCGTCCACCACGAGTGTGTCACACCACTTGTGACCTGGCCACTGACCGGAGCCCTTTCCGGGTTGAGCTCGCCCACTGTAGCGAGTACCTCCTGCTGCATGACGAAATACTCCAGAAGTTAGTGCCCTGTGTGGTGGTAGCACCTGTCATTTCTCACTGCCTCAGTGGGACAGGAATTTGGGAGTCACGTGGCTGGGCAGTGCGGCTCCGGGCCTGTTGAGAGGCTGCATCATCTGAAGGCATGCCCGGGGCCGGAGCGCCCCTCCCGAGGTGGCCCCCTCACGCGGCTGCAAGCTGGTGCTGGCTGTTGGTGCGAGGCCTCAGTTCCCCCACGTGAGCCTCTCCGCGGGGCTGCTCCAGCGCCTGGCTGTCCTCAGCAGGGCTGGCTCGAGAGGTCGGAGCGGAGCCTGCAAGCCCTGCATTCCGCCACACCGCCTGGTCCCGCAGACCAGCCCCGAGCCACCATGGGAGGGACTGCATGCGGGCATGGGCGCATGGGTCACTCGGGCCATCGTGGAGTCTGACGGTCATGAGATTTGTGCCCCAGTCCCAGGCTGCGAGCGGACCAACTGCCCGGCTCGGTGTGTGTGTGTGTGTGTGGGCAGAGCATCCTCTGGGGCCAGGGGAATTCTTCCCTGCATTTCTGCTAATTCTTGCTTACCCGAAGGCCAAGGGCCTCTGACAATGTCCTCTCTACCTCGGGATCTCTCGCCAGCCTCCAGACCCAGCTGCGCTTCCATCCGCCTTTCTAGTCTGGCGCGGAAGCCCCTTTTTATTCCAAAGGCAAGTCTATCTTGATTAGAAAGTCACTCATCGCCTTTGTGCAGTGCACCCATTAGGAGATGTAGAGTAAATATTTGTCTTTGTGAATAATCTCACAAACCTCAGAGGCATAGAAAGACCATTCAGAAAATAGATCTTTGCAAAGATAACGCTCCTGGCTGTTCTCTGCTGGAGTTCCTGTAACCACCAGCCAGGGACCAAGTTACTTTGTCTGCTTTATCATTTTTCAGTCCTGCAGGGACCTTTGTGAGTTCAGCGTTTCCATCCCCAGCTCTAGAACAGAGAGGGATGGGTGTGTGTGTGTGTGTGTGTGTGTGTTGGGGGGGGATAGTCTGGACTTTGAAGCTCTGAGCCAGATTTAGGGCCCGGCTCCTCCCTCCCTGGCCCCCCTCCCAGGTCTGGTTCTTCCAGGATCCCCCACACTTGTGCATGTTGATAAATTGTGTTTGTCGTCTCAAACCAGGGTCCCTTGATGGCGTCCTGGTCACGCCGGGAGAAGAAGCTGAGGCCCAGAGAGTTCACTGGTCCTGCCCAGGGCCGCATGGCCGTGGAGGGCTGTGAAGGTCCCCGGCCCCGTGCGCCCAGCCTGGGCCCCCTCCCCCGCGCCCCAGCTGCACCCTTGCCTTTCCCGCCCTACTCTTTCTGCCTGGCATCTGGCGCTGGCCGGGCCCGAGCCACGTGGGGGCTGTTGGGGTTCCCCTGGCAGCGCTGAGGCCCCAGCCTCCCGAGGGCGGGCCTGTGAAATCCCCCTGGGTTCTGGCTCTAAGTCTGTGCTCTCGGGGCCTCTGGATGGGCGCATGTCTCTGGGGTTCCCCCGCGGGAATTTAGACGTGGATTTATTCTGACGGTCCGTTCCCAGGCCGGGAGCATGCGGAGCGCAACAGGTGGCTTTGTCACTACTGGAAAGGCACCGGTCCTGGGCGCCTGGGTGGCTCAGTTCTTTAAGCGCCTGCCCTTGGCTCAGGTCATGATCTCGGGGCCCTGGGATCGAGCCCCGCATCGGGCTCCCTGCTCAGTGGGGAGTCAGCTTCTCCCTCTGCCCCTCCCCCACTTCATGCTCTCTCTCTCTCTCTCTCTCTCTCTCTCTCTCAAATAAATAAATTAAAAAAAAAAAAGAAAGAAAGGCACCAGTCCTAATGCTGGGGGGGGGAGGGGAGGGGGGCACTTTAGGGTTTCCCGTCCCTCTTGGGGGGAGAAGCTGTGATTCCCAGGCCGACATGGAAGCTTGGTACAGCTCGGAGTCCATGCAGCTCTCCTCCCCCAGGAATCCCAGAGAGCCCATGGCTATGGCTCGGCGCCTTCCTGGCCGCTGCCAACCGCGGGGTCCTGGCTGGGGCCTTGCGCACCAGGCGCACCTGTACCCCGCACACTGCTGATCTTTGAGGGTGTGGACGGGGTTTGCAGCTGTGAGACGTGTTGCTGCCGAGCCTGCTCAACGGACACCCCTTCTTTCTCTCTCTCTTCCAGCCTGCAGGTACTGCTACCACAAGCCATGTGAACCTAAGGTAAGTTGCTGCTTCCCCGGGGACTGTGCCCCCGCCGTGGCCTGGGCCGTGGCTTCTGCCGCCTTGGCCTGTGGCCATGGGTGTGGAACACACAAGAAAGAGGCTGCTAGATGCCTCGATGGGATGTATACGTTTCATCTCAGGAGTAAGCTGAAGAGCTGTGCACTCTGCTCTTGACTGTAGAACGTGACGCTCAAGAATCTGGTTTCAGATAAGAATGCGGTGACTGGCCCCACCCCCCGGCCCCCCAGCAGATGCCCCCTTCTCTCTCAGGATTATATTGTCGGGTCGGGGTGGCGTAGGCACAGCGTTTAGGGCACATGCCTGGCCTTGAGGATTTGGGGAGCTTCGTGTTAGGGTAGTTGTTCTTCGATTGGTGGGGTTGTCAGGCTGTCACGGAAGTCGGGGCCCTGAATTGGGGAAGGTTGTCCTGGTTTTTGAGTTCCTTGGAGGGGCTACATTGCCGAGGGCCCCCAGGAGCGCTGGAGGCCTGGGGTGCTTGGTGGGGGTTAGGACTTTGACTAGTGGGGCGGTGAGGAGGCCTGGACCTGGCAGGTGGGCAGTTGGGGGAACCGCGGGACGGAGGGCTGATATTCTGCCCCCATCACAGTGTCCGTACTTCCCGCATTTTCCTGTAGTGCATGCATCGACCCTCTGGCCGGCCCTGCCTCAGAGGGAGCCTCTCACATATCCTGCAGGCCGCCCCCGTGGGAGATGGGGTTTTAGAGAGTCTTGGGATTTGGTTGCTGCCGTGCACCCCTCCTGGGTCAGCTATTGCTGAGAATTTCCGACTGGCTCTGGGCTCTGAGCAGAAGTGTGTGCTGGAGGCATGCTTCATGCGCTGTGAGCTGGCTCCTCACGGTGGGTCCTGTGTGGGGGGACTGGGGATCCTGAATCCCTCCACCCTCCCCACCACACAGGCACGCACGCACGCACGATTTACCCCCGTGCAGGAGCACACACTCACACAAGCACAAACACAACCATGCACACTCACAGTTCGCACCATTTATGCGCACACTTCACACACAGACGCACACAAACACCTGCACACTCACATGCACGCACACGCATACACACAGTCGGCAAGAACTATGGGCTAGTCCAGCCGTGTGTGTTTTTTCAAGAAAGAGATTAAATGCCTTTTCCTTGTAAACTTCCCACGACGGGGGATTTGGAATGCAGGAGAGGCGCAGAGTGCAATACAGAGCCCCGTGCTATACTGCCACCCAGCCCCGTGGCCAGCAACCCTCCCACCGTCCCCTCCGAAGCCCTGGGTCCCCTGCCTCTCCGAGATGTCACGGGATGTGCGTTTGAGCTGCTTTAGGAGCAGGCGCCCCTGGTGGGGCTTCAGGGCTTGTCTGCTTCCTTTCTGGTCTCACTCTGGAGGAGCCCCCTTTCTGGCTGAGGCCAGCTGTTCCTTGCTCAGACACACTCACGGGGGCGGGGGGCTCGTTTCCAGCCTTGGCTTATCCTTGTTCTGCTTTGCCTGCAAATATGCTCCTCTCTCATGCGTGTGGTGTACTTCTAAGTGGTTGTGTTGGGGCACAGAATTTTCTGGATTTCCAGGAGGGTCCCCCCGCGCCCACGCCGGGAGGGTTGAGATGTGTATGGCTGGCCTGGCCACTCCTGGCTGGCAGCGGAGAACTGAGCCCCCTTGCTGTTGGCACCGTGTGTTCAAGGGGGGCCCAGAGCCGGCTCCTTAGAGGATTGAATTCTTTGGCTCCAAGAATATTCCAGAAGTCTTAGCTATCACCGATGATGGCATTTCTGGCCACAGTAATTGGATTTTGCTGAGAGGTAGATAAGCGTTTTCAGTAGATCGGGGTTGGGGGAAATGTATCCGCATTCATTTTTCTCGATAACCCAGCTTCGAGTGGCAGGAGAGAATGCCACCAGCAATAACAAAGCCCCTTCTTATTCCAGAACCATAACACCATGAGTGTGGGGCGCAGAAGGGCCATACGTTCCCAGCCACCGCTGGAGATAAGCCGGGGCAGCTCCGTCTGCCAGGAGCTGAGACACGGTTCTCGCAGACAGCGTGGGTCCTTCCTTAGCACGTGTGTGTGTGTGTAACACGCAGGCTCCTTCGGTGCCCGGGGCTCGCTGGATTTCCTGACGCACAACCGTGATGCTTTGGCCTAACGTCCGACCCGGTCCGGCTGCTTGCTGACTTGGGGAGGGCGGGTGCTGCAGGTTCCCTCTGTGACATCCGCAGGCCTGGTGGGGACTCGGAAGGAGTAACAGAGGCCAGGGGTGTGTGGCACCCTCCCCGGAGCGTGTTAGTGTGCGGTGAACCCCGCTGTACCGGCATCACCAAGGACAGAGCCATCCTGCAGAAACGGCCGAGCCAGGGGCTGGGGCCTGGGGGCTCATGAGGGCAGGGAAGTCGAGTCATGAGCTGGGGCCTCGCTCACAGCCCTGATGGACTGAAGTCACGGTCTTCCTAGTTGATGGGCAGTAGGGCCCTCAGGTGAGGCCTTGGGCTTAGAGGGCACAGAGAAGCAGAGACCCGGGTCATGATCCCTGCGGGGGCTGTGATCCCCGTGGGGGCTTCTCGTCTGCTGCAGCAAGTCCCCTGGGGTTCCGGTTTCTTTATGTGTGAAATGGGTGAGTGATCCGTCCACAGTCCAACGTGAAGAAAGCTTTCTCTTGGCTGTTAATTATGGTAATCTTGATTATTTAGATTTTAAGGAAGGCAAATTATTTAGGTATAATGGCTGGGGAGTTTGGGATTGCAAATATTTTGCTCGCTGGGAGGCCTTGCTGGTTCGCTGGAGCCTCGTGAGCTGCCTGGGTGGCGTGAGCTGGCTTTTCCCAGCTGCCGGCTGACTCACGGGCTTGAGCCACGGGAAGTAGGAGAGAGCCGTTGCAGGGAGACGGGCGATGGGGTCCCTGGTGGGGCCCCCCAAATATGGCAGAGGCGGGGTCCCAGTGGGCTTTGGCGAGCGGGCGGGAGCTCTGCAGAAGTGGGAAGCCGCATCCGCCGTTCCACGCCCCGGGCACGGTCCTTCCACGTCGGCCCAGACCGCACACCTGTTCTTAAAGGAGCCGTTGGTCAGGGATTGACGTGTTCAAGAGCACATGTTATGCCGACCTCCAGATAGGGTGTTTTGTTTTTTGCAAACGTAAGGCCCCCACATAGGGACAGAGCAGTGAGTTGGTGGAGCCGGAACCCACCTGCAGTGGTATGGAGCCATCATCTTGTGGAGGGTCCCCATGCCGGGCTCACCCTGAGCCCCCTGTCATCTGTCTCCGAAGTCAGGGCTCTGTCCTCAGGCCGCTTTGTCCCTTGCACGACGTGGATGCCCAGCTCGCCTCTTCTCTTTCTGGGTGTGCCTTGACGGGTGCCTCGCTGGAGACAAAGTACAGGACCCCAGGGCTGCCTCCCTCGGTGAGGTGGGAGCCCCCTTTGGGAGAGGAGGGGGTCCCAGGCGGCTACAGGGGCCTCTGTTTGCTCTGTCCCCGTGTGACTGTCATGTGGTGGCCAAGCTGGGAAGCTTCAAACCTCCCAACAGAAGCCGAGCTGTGATGGGCACGCCGTTCCTCTCTCTGAAGGTTGAGGCGTGGCCAGGCGGGCCCCCCCCCGCCGAGAGCCTCTCCCACGTCTGGGCCCCGGGCAGTGTCAGCCCCCTCCTGCCGCCGCCCCTGCTGGCCTCATGTGCCGGTGACCCCCGAGTTCTGGCTGTGTTTGGTGCAGGAGGTACAGTGACCTGCCCGAGACTGTGTCTTCTAGGTGGGCACCTCTGCCACGAGAGCCTACAGCGTCCTCAGAAACCACCACGGACGCGGGTCCTGGTGACAGCCGACGCCCACTGGCGTAAGTGAGGAGTTGTAGCCAGGAGCTTACGTCTGCTGGTTCCCCTGCATCTCCAGACAGCTGTCTTCCCCACTGTGTCCCAGGTGTGGTCCGTCGGCCCCTCCCTGCATCGGTCCAGCAAACGGGGACTGTTACAGGGCCCCTGCGTCCCAGCGGTCAGGGGCATCGGGTTTCAGAGTCCAGGTCTGTGCATGCTTTGTGCATCCACCGTGGAGCCGGGGCTGGAATGTGCTCCTGGCATCCCTGCTCTGAAGCCTCCAGACCCCCCATCTCGTGCCCTCTGCCCCTTCCCCAGGCCGGAGCCTGTGGCCCACCCCACTCTGTATCTGTGTCTGCACCAGGAAGGATGCCCAAGAGCCCTGGACTCACCAGCTCCTCCCGGGGTCCTTCCTCCCCCGAGGGAGCTGCAGCTTCTTGGCATCGCTGAGGCTCCTCAGAATTCCTTTGGGAATGCCGGCAGAGCTAGGAGCGTGTCTCTGGGACTTCGCTGGTGGCAGGCCTCCAGGCCTTGGGGGACGGCTTGGTTTGTGATGAATCCGAGCATCGCGGGCGTGAGCCTGTGGTGAGGTTCCTGCTCCTGCCTCGGTCACTGGTTTTGCCTGCAACACGAGCTGGGAGCATGCGGATCAGTTCAAGCAAGCTGGCTCGCTGAGGCACCCCGAGCGTGATGCCCCCCGACTTCGTGCAGCCCGGCTCCGATGGCAGAGCGAGGGCACCCGCGAATAGGAGACCCCTCCATTCCGCAGACATCCCTCTAGTGACGAGGGTAGCAGATGTGCGAGCGTGCAGCTGCCCGATGCCGTGTGGGGGACGGGATGCTGAGGCCGGGCTGCCCTGAGCCCAGGCTCGAATGTGGACAAACCCAAGAAGGAGCGCTTGGTGAATAATTTTCTTCTCTTGAGTGTTAGTGACGGGAATCACCACTCCCTGAAACTCTGCACTGGGGATGCCTTTCCTCACGCCTGCCCTCCTTCTGGGAGAACCGGAGACAGTGGAACTTTCCAGGCGTAGCGGTCGGAAGCAGCCCGTGAGACCATAGGGCAAGGACACCGGGATCTGAGCTTGACTGCCCCATGGTCGCCACAGGCACTCGGGCCTTCGTTTCTTTCTCTACGAAATCAGAACACAGATGTCTTCCATGAGGGGTTCCGAGAACCCGGTTCAGCAGCCGGATTGAACCCAGCCCCGGGGCTTCTGGAGGGAGCATCCCCTCCTTCTGGATAACTTGCATCCTGCATCCTTGGAGCAAGCACATTTCTCTGGAGACTGTTCTACCTGCAGTCAGGGTCATTATCCTACTAACCCAGCTGTTTCACAAAGTGTCGACCCGCCAACAGCACAAATCAGAGTGCATCTTATTCCCTAAGTGTTTAAACGACACGAAAGGATGGTGTACTCTCCACATTCTCTTCCGGAGAATGGGATCTTCCCTGCCAAGCAGACAAATGCTATATAATTGGCTTCGTTTGTGCCCCTCACGCAGCGTGGGTCCAACCTGAAGGTGCTTCCACACTGCCGGTGGCAGAGGAGTGGGCTCAGCGTTTCCTGAGACCAGAGCCACAGGTTCCTGCCTGTCCGTGTGTGGCTTTGACTCTGGCCGGCTCTGTAACCCACCCCCCCACCCCGCCGCCACCACCCGGCTGGCTCTGTGGCTTCTCCCAGGTGGGCTCCCAGCCTCCCACTTGGCTGGCCACTCCAGCATCCTGCATTGGTACGTGCTGGCCACAGCCCTGGCGCATCCCCAGGGTGGACTTTGGTGGTCCCCTTGGGTGTGGTCCTGCAGTGCCCGGACCCAGGGCAGAGCAGGCCCTTCGGATTCCACCACCTACCCGGTCCTGGGTTCCTGTGTGACCGCCCACCTCTCAGGAGTGGGTCCCTCCTCCTCTGTCCCACCCCGGCGGCCGTGGGTGTGCCTGGCCGTGTGCATGGGCACACGTGGAATTCTTCACCTGTCTTCTCTCAGGGGTGGCACTGTCCCTATGGCATGGCAGTGTGATCCCCCTGCCTCTCTGCTTGGGCTCCGCTCAGCAGTGTGCAGGTGGAGCTTTACAACCTGCTGACCTCCCTGCTGGGAGGACCCCCGTGGCTCCTTCCAAGCCACCCACGTGCCGTGGCTCAGCTCGCACACCCCTGACACTGCCTCGTTTGGCTCCCGTGCGCTCCGGGTCGCCTGCTCATCACCTCCGTCGTAGAAACCGCGTCCCCTCCGCAGACAGCTCTGGACTCTCCTTGGGTGCCTTGCTGCTTGCCTGTGTCGACAGCGGCCCTGGCTTCTTTCTGGAAGATGCTAACTCTTCATTCTTCATTCACGTTCCCTGTGAGCGAATGCCCTGTTCCTGACTTCCTTGTCCGGACACACTACTGTCTTTCACTGGCCACTGTGCACTTTCTGAACTGTTCAGAATCTGTCCTCTCTGCCTGCATTGTGCGGCCGACCCCTCTCCCCGGCTCGGGGGGGTCCTCCCAGCTGTGTGGCGCCCCGAGCCCTCCCCAGCCTGCCTGCACCTGGCGATCCTGCTGCTTCACAGAACGCTCTTCTCCTGGACCCCTCACTCCTGCCCTCAGGCTGCAGGTGCATCAGACCCCTGCTGGTGACTTCCCTGCCGCCTTCTTCCCCCGTCGGGGAGGATGTGCTGGTGGCCTTGGGGGGCCCTGCAGCCTGGTCCTCAGGCTGTCCCCCCCACACCTGCAAACTGCCCTCTGCCCAGTGGCCACCCCCGGACGCTGTCCCCATGCTGTCAGAGCACGTGTGTCCCTGGACAACCTGGCCACCAGGGTCAGGCCCTCGAGGACGGAGGTCCAGCACGGGGGCCAGGACTGTGCCTGTGCGCTCCCCCCTTGGGTGGCCGTGGTGTGAGTCCGAGTGTTTTGCGGGACCCCGAGTGGCATGTCAACACCTCCCGTGTGAAATCGCTCACGTGGCACCCGGACTGGAGCATTTCCAATCCCGGGGCCAGCTTTCTCGTGGCGGTGACTCCGGAGGACCAGTTTTTGGAGTGAAACGCCCATCTGCCCACTTTCAGGGGCAGGACGACGACCCGTAACTGAGCATCAGAGTCTCCATCTCCACGTTTCCATTTGTAAAAGACAGCTTCCGTTTCACTCTGTGTTTTGCTTTTCATCTTGGAAAGCTCTTCATTTTGAGCAGGGATTCGGGAAGCGCTGACCTCCCGTTTTCCCGCAGGCTGGGAATGGCTCACGGATGCCCTCTTGTTCCATCTGGACAGCAGTCCGCACGACTGGCTCCTGTGTCTCCAAACCCCACAGGCATCCCCTCTGCCTCGACACAGCCGGGCCTGCTCACCATCTTTGCAGGAGGGGACCCCGGGCTGCGGCTTCGTTGGGGGGCAGGGAGGACGGATCGCCTAAGAGGCTGGCACTGGTTATGGAATCAGAATGCTGATTCCAGAGTCTTTATGTCACTTTCTGTCTTCTTAGGGGCTTTTTCTGGGTGTTTAAAAAGCGTGTGGTGGGTGTTGACCAGGCCGTCGGGGGCCCGTCGGAAAGCTCTGTGCTGCCCAGGGAGAGCGGGGGGCCACGCGGAGGGGTGGCGGGGAGTCACCCCTGCATTCTCGGGCAGACCTCGGCAGACGGGGCCAGGGCTGCAGGCCGGTCTCGGGCTTCCCCCCGGGATCCTGGGTGCAGCGGGATTTTGTAACTGTGAATGGAAGATTAGCTTCTGACGGGGCGAACCCATGAGTGTTTCTGTCACACGCTTCTGTGGATGCTGAGAGTGGGCAGTCTGCCTCTTGGCCACCCGACGCCAAAGCTAATTTTTTTTCTTTTCAGATTTGGTGATAAGTTGCAAGCTGTCAGAATTTGTCATGTTCCCTTCCCTGGGTCACAGGACAGTTGGCGAAAACCGAACTGTTCGTTGTGTTATTCTTAGACACTGTGGATGGAGTGTTTTTGGGGAAGTACTGTTGAGCACCCCCGTGGAGCGTACCGTTTCCTTCCTTAAAGGACTGCAGTGTGTTTGTGCCTTTTCTTCCTTTCTGTAGCAAGAAGGAAGGTGTTAAAAATGTCACGGGGCGGGGTGTGCCATTCCTGAGCTCCTCTCTTCAAGAGAAACAAAAGCCTGCACTTGGTAGGGACGTTTTGGCCCAGCTCACATTGTCCTGGCCCCGTGCACCCTGAGCACAGTGGCTGCTATTTCCCGGGTCTGGGGTGGGCATCCAAGCCTGGGGAGGGGTGCATTCTTCCCCCATCTCCCTGTCTGCAAAGACCTCCCACCACACCCTTGTTCATGGAAAGTGTTGGGGGGCCTGGCAGGGGCGGGGCTCACGGGGGGCGGGGCTCCGTGGGGGAGGGACTTTCCCCCGGAGAAGGAGAGGAAGGGCTTGGTTGGGGTAGAGGAAGGAGGGGTTATTATGTCCCCTGCATGGTTGAGGGGGACTGAGCTTACAGAGGAGGGGCCACCTGAGCTGGTCAGGTCCCTGGGAGAGGACATGGGGGGACGGGGGGCAGGGGGAGGACGGAGCACGGGGAGGGCAGGGGGTGAGCCTCTGAGGCAAAGTCCAGGGACTTTTCTGTGCTATCCAGCCGACTCTGCCTTTGAAAAACTGTACTTATTATGTCTAAAGAGTAATTTTTTAAAACTAAGCACACGATTAGAAAAGTCACATGCCATAAATATCCAGTCTGATGGTTTTGACAGTGGACAGTTGGGCGTGACCATGCAGGTGGGGGGACCGTGTGTCCCGCACCCCGCTGCCCTGCCGGGGCCCCTCGCCCACCTGCCGCCACCGAGGCTCATGGCCTTTTTGCCCTTGAAGCAGGTGGACACCCGGGCGTCATTGTCTCCACGTCTTCTTGCTCTGACGTCAGCGGTATCCTTGCTGTCCTGGGCTTTGAAAGGGGACATGCCCCCACTGCCCCGTTGGGGCACGGCGAAGGACGCATCTCCTGGGGGCCAGCCTGCCCTCTGGTCTTCCCTTTGGTGGGAGCGCCGCTGAGTCACCCGCCAAAGGGCCGCTGGTGCC